AGAAACATCAATGATGAGAGAGAATCATTGATCTTGGCTGCCTCCTGCCCTCCCCCTATTGGGGATTGAGTGGGGGAAGGGCATGTGCCTGACAGGGAATTGAAACATGACCTCCTGGTTCATAGATCGATGCTCAACCACTGAGCCACACCAGCTAGGCCTTTGCCCAAATTTTTAAAAATTTATTTTTCAATTGCAGGTGACTTACAATATCATATTAGTTTCAACATAGTGCAACATAGTGATTAGACGTTTATGTAACTTACAAACTTATTGCCCTGATGATTCTAGTACCCATCTAACAAAATACATAGCTATTAAAATATGATTGGAGGACTTACCCTCCCTGATTTCAAGACTTATTCTAAAGAAAGACAGTTTGGTATGTGTATAGAGACACATAGAATATATGTAGACAATGGAACAGACTAGAGAGTCCAGAAATATATATATAGATATATATATACATATATATATATATTCAATTGATTTTTGACAAAGGTGCCTAAAATAATGTAAAAGGGAAAATTAAGCCTTAACATTCAACCATTGGCTTAAATGAATCTATTGACACCAAGTCAAAAGGAAGACAGGAAACTGCCATGCAGAGTCAAAAATTAAGGTCAATATTATGGCAGCATGACAGAAGCAGTGAAAATCTAAGTTGTCAGTCTTACTTGTCATTGTTGTCATGTTAGTTCATGCAAATAAACATTAAGAAGTTTATTCAAGAAATAACAAGTTTTGCAAACAAAATAACTCCCTAAATTGGTGATTTCAACATATTTCTTTATAATACTATTGATCTTGCTAGGACATCCGAATGTTACATTATCTGAATACTACCCAATCATGTTTGCTGCATTTTCCAGTGTTTGAATATTCGCTAAGTGATATAGTGTTTTGAAAACACAAAATAATGTCATTGTTATAAAAGTAAATGAACCATAGCCAGATGGCTCAGTTGGTTGAAGTGTTATCCCAAGCACCAAAAGGTTGTCTTTATGTTAAAAAATTGTTTGGTTATTCTAGTTTCTTTGCATTTCCGTATGAATTTTAGAATCAGCTTGTCAATTTCTACAAAAAGTCTTCCTGGAATTTTGATTGATATTGGGTTGACTTTATAAATAAACTTGCTGATAATTAATATCCTAATAATATTGTCTTGAAATTCATGAACATAGTTGATTCATTCATTAATTTAGATTTCACCCCCCCCCCCCCCCCGCCATGAACATTTACAAGAACATAAAATATGCCAGGCATAGTAATGAGTGCTTTGCATGCATCCTTGAGAAGCCCTGCACTTTATGATTTTCCTGTATGCAAACACCAGAACTGACAGCTGTTGGAGAGGTCTGCGCACCCAAGGCCCGCGGGCTCTTCGCCCCTCTTCGCGCCCCTTCCCCTCTCCCCTTCCCCCACCGAGTGAGAGGAAGCGCCCGGAGCCCGAGTGCTTTCGCCTCCCGCAGCTCTTGCTCCATCGCAGAGCACGTGCAGGGGTGTGCGAGTGGTTTACTGGGGCCCAGACGGCAATGAAGGGGTAGGGGTGGGGAGCCGGAGAATGCTGGGCTCCTTCGGGCAGCCTCCTCGCCCCGCCTGCCCCCCTGAAAGACGGCTCCAGAAAGGGCGTGGAAGGGAACCGGAGCAGCGGGGCGGAGGGGCACGAGTTCAGGCGGCGGGAGGAGGGAGGATGCCACCCGCAGCGGCTCCTGGCGGCCGGACGCCCGCTCTGCCCGCTGAGCCGAGCCTCAGAGGTTTCCAGAGTGACGCCCGGGCACAGCGCGTCCCCCGGCGGCTCAGAAGACCCTACGCGTCCCCGCCGGCCGGCTAACGGCGCACCCCGGGGTCGCCCCGCTGCTCCCGCCTCCCCCCCCCCACCCCCCTAGAGCTACAAATGAGCCTAGTCTGGTGCCTATCTCACAAGTTTCTTAT